ATCCTGTTTACATTAGCTACAAAAAATTACCTAGAAATAAATTTAACCGAAGACTTGAAAGACCTCTACAACACTTGATGTTGGTGATTTGCTGACTTAACTAATTTCAGAGCTGTGTGACCTTGGGACTTCTTGCTATGTATTATAATAAATTTTCTTTACTATTTAAAAAAAAAAAGATCAGCCTGATCAACGTGGAGAAACCCCATTTCTATTAAAAATCCAAAATTGGCCGGGCTTGATAGCTCATGCCTGTAACCTCAGCTACTTGGAGGCTGAGATAGGAGAATTGTTTGAACCTGGAAGGCGGAGGTTGTGGTGAGCCGAGATCGCATAGTTGCACTCCAGCCTGGGCAACAAGAGTGAAACTCCGTCTCAAAAAAAAAAAAAACAACAAAAAAAGACAACATTGAGGGCAGAGATGGAACAGTGTAGTTAGGATTATTTCCCCAGTATCTAGCATAGCTACTGCCACATGATGATTTTAGAGATTTTGGGCAATGACAAAGATAGGATATGATAGTGTAAGAGGAGAGCTAAGTTGAATGGAGATGAAGGCTGGTAGAGAAGTTCAGGGAATCATGAATCTGGTGAGCTGGATAGTTTACTGATGAATATGTTTTAATTGTCCAAGATGTTGTAGAAAAGTCAGGGAGAGGAAAGGAAGATTGTGAACCGTAGGCCAAAGCTCTTAATAAATGTAGGGAAGTACCCTGGAAGCTGACCAATGATAGGATGAAAGGTAAGAAGAGCTATAGAAAACTTTCAAGGAAAAAGAACTATAGAAAGAAGGCAGTGAGCCAATGGCATGAAAGGGGCACGGGGGGCCAGGGAACAGAGACTATGTATCTGGCATGATGGGGTTGATGTATTTTCACGGCGATTCACTGTAGGGGCACAACAAGCACAACTAGGCTGGGCATGGTGGCTCACACCTGCAATCCCAGCACTTCGGGAGGCCATGGTAGGTGGATTGCCTAAGCCCAGGAGTTTAAGACCAGCCTGTGCAATAGACACCATCTCTACAAAAAATAAAAATACTAGCTGGATGTGGTGGCACATGCCTGTGGTCTCAGCTACTCAGGGGCTGGGGTGAGAGGTCATTTGAGCCCGGGACGTTAAGGCTACAGTGAGCTTTGACTGTGCCACTTGCACTTCAGCCTGGGTGATAGAGCAAGACCCTGCCTCAAAAAAAACAAAAAACTAAGCAGAGCTAGTGATGCTTGGTCAGGGTTGGGAGTAGGCTCCAGTAAATACACTGGAAAATCTCTAGGCTGGTATCAGGTTGGGAAAGATCCTAAGGGGAAAAGTACAAGGGAACATGGTAAGTTGGGAAAATAGCAATGGGATAGAAGGGAAAAACATGTCACAAATAAAAAGGTGCGCTGTTGGGAAACTAAAAAAGGCTTCCTGCTGGCCAGGAGGATTTGACCTATGTCAAATATATGTCATCACCCTGACCTATATCAGGTCTATTTTCATGGTCAAAGAACTGATGACTCTGGCCACAGGGAAGAGATCCAAGTTCTCTCACTGACTGTAAGAAGAGACTTAGATGAAGCATGCTTTTAGCAGTTAGTGTTTTTTAGTTTTTTTTTCTTTTTAAATGGAATCTTGCTCTGTCATCTCGGCTGGAGTACGGTGGTGTGATCTCTGCTCACTGGAACCTCTGCTTCCCAGGTTCAAGTGATTCTCCTGCCTCAGCCTCCCAAGTAGCTGAGATTACAAGTGTGTGCGACTACACACAGCTAATTTTTGTATTTTTAATAGAGACGAGGTTTCACCATGTTGGATGGGCTGGTCTTGACTCAGGACCTCAAGTGATCCACCTGCCTTGGTCTCTTAAAGTGCTGGGATCACAGGTGTGAGCCACCGCCACTGCACCCGACCATTTTTTAGGTTTTGACTGTTAGCTGGGGGCTTTTCTACTGCTTGAGAAGGTCAAATTTGGCTGCCAGTATTTTTTGCTAGAGATAATCAATGAGGGTATTGGGATGGGGTGAGAAAAGTCAGAGTTGTTATAAAATGGCTTGTTTTCTTGGTAGTGCTAGGAGAGGGCAGGGAGGCCTAGGCTGGGTTATGAGTCATATTTTGGGAGAAAAAAGACTGCTATGGATGTGGTGACTCTGTAATATGAAAATGATTAGAAGTTGGAGAGGAGACTGCATTATTTCTTAGGATGAACGTTTTTTCCTGAAACTCCTTTATGTGAGGAAGACTGACAGAAGACTTTGCCATCTATTGAGCTCTTTGCTGGTAAGGACATGAGTTGTTGACGTTTGCCTAGGTCATCCATAGTAACAAGTTTTGAGTGCTGCACTGATGGCTAGGAGTTTGCTTTCACCATATGGCTCAGTCTCAAAAAAAAAAAAAAA